GGTGGCCCCCGGGGCCCCCTGAGCTTGTCACCACCAGCCATGCCCCCCCGCCCCCCACTCCCTGTGCTCAGGTCCTGCTGGCTGGGGTTGGCGGGGCCAGCTCTGTCCCTCAGCCCTCGGCCCTGCATCCCTGCTTATTTGACTTCTGATCTCATGCTTATGTGCAGACACAGGGTTTCCGCTCAGGCCCCAGACCCCACTCCCTCAGTAATTTGGAGGCCCTGGAGTCCCAGAAAGTGAGGACGCTCCTCCCTGCCCTGCGGGGTGGTCCCCGTGGGCCCCCCTCACCCCCCTCTCAGCCTTGTGAAATTGGGGCTCCCACCTGCCAGGAGGCCGGGTCCCCTGCGTCGGCGGCTCAGGACCCTGGCTCCATCCTTCCTCAGGAGTTTGAGATCGAGCTGGAGGGCTCCCAGTCCCTGAGGATCCTGTGCTACGAGAAGTGCTACGACAAGACCAAGGTCAACAAGGACAACAACGAGATCGTGGACAAGATCATGGGCAAAGGGCAGATCCAGGTGCGGTCCCGATGCGGCCCCGGCAGGAGGTGGTGGGGTGCATCTTTCTCACTGGCCTCCTTGGTCCAGGGGCTTGGGCCTTTGTGCCTCGGCTTCCATGCTGGTTTGAGAAGCCACCCAGCCTGTTGGTTCCCCTGCGGGAGATGACGTCTCATTGTGGCCCCAGGCGCCCATGTGTGCCCGGTGCCTGGGGCTTCCACGCCTGGCTCAGGTGGGCCACCCACTCTCCCGGGGGAGAGGGCTCCCTGTGTCTTCACTTCCCACCTCTGGTCTCCTGGGGCTTTTCCCAGGCACTGCGTGGAGGAGTCTGGGGCTACGTCCGCGAGGCGGTGTTTGATGAGCAGTGTCTGCTGTAGGAGGTGTGAGGCCCAGCATTTGGGGGGGCTTAGATCTGCAGGGTGGCTGGGGCTGGTCTCCGACTGGTCGCTAGGGCTGCTGGGCCTTACTGGTCCCTGGAGTTCACCGGCGTGGGGTTGGTTGTGCGGGTCAGGTTGAGGGTGCGCGTGCCTGGGCAGTGTTTCTCGGTGCCCTGTTAACGGATGCGGGGAAAGGGCCTTCTGAGTCCCTGGAAATTCTCCCGGTTTGGGAAATGGCTGTTCTTCACGCTCCTGTGAAGCGGATGCAGACATGGGCAGGCGTGCAGCCGTGCACACCCATCCGGCACCTGGTGTGGCCTCAAGCTCAGGGCAGGAGTGGCCGGGTTCGGGGGTCGAGCCTGTGACCATGAAGTCAAGGGAGACAATGGCTGGCTGCACTGGGACTGAGCCGCGGGCAGGAGGTGCCGCGGGCAGGAGGTGCCACGGGCTTACGAACGTTGCCACAGCGGGACTGTGTGTGCAGAGAGCTGAGCGACGCTTGTTTGCAGGAAACGCTGGTTCTCTGATTGTTGAGCTTTAGAGTTTGGTGACTGGCTCTTAGCAGCATTGCCCCTTGGTGACCTGTGTGGGCTTCCTGCTCCCCCCGTCCCAGGCTCTAGAGCAGCGGTCGCTAACCTTTCAGACCTCCACGGACCACCAGTTGGCGACCGCTGCTCTAGTGTTTGAAGTGGGGGGCGGGGCTCCATATGGTGGGGTCCTGGCCATCTGCCTCATGTTGCCCCAAGTTCCTGAGCACATCTCTTCCTAACTCTGGGGGACCTGTGCCCCCCTCCTCAGCACTGTCTCCAGAGAGATGGTGTTGCCAGGCAACCATAAGTCAGTCCTTCATTATTTTAGTGATGATTTAGGAAAAGGGGACTGAAGGGAGCTAGCTCTCTCTCAGTTCAGCCCTGGGAACCCACTTCCCGCGGGGGTACGGAGTGGGGGGCCCCACGTTCCTGGGCAGGCGGGAGTGACTGCAGGGATGGGGCTCTGGGCTGGCCCATCTAGCCCAGGAGACACCCAGCCAACAACTATGACCGGCTGCCATGTGCCCAGAGCCTGGGTGGCCGTGGGATAGAAGAGTTAAAAGGAGTGTCCAGCGCAGCCAACTCAGTGAGTCCCAGGGGCCCTGACCCCTCCAGACCCCAGGGTCCCTCCAGGGCTCAGGGGCATTGTCCCCACCTGGACTTTCAGGCCTATTGCTCCCTCCTCCTCACTCCTGTCAGCCTCACAGCCCCAGGGGAAGCACAGCATCAATCGCTGCATCTCGGAGACAGGAGCAGATGGAGGCCGTGGGGGATGGGGAGGGAGCCAGGTTATGTTTGGCAAAGCAGAAAGCACAGTCTGTTAAGGAAAATGTTTCTGTGTTTAAGCTTCGAGGAATGTTCAATGCCTGGGAGTGATATTAAAAGAAACACAAACCTTCCTGCTGCCAGCTGACCTGGGCCTGGGAGCTGCCAGTTCAGAACCAGCGTCCTCCGAGGGCTTTGAAGTCCCCGGGCCCTCAGCTCCCCGGGGTTCAGCGCTGGTGCAGCCCTTGGCCCTCAGCCACAGAGCGCCCGACAGGCCTTCCTGTGAACTGGGGAGCAGGAGGGGCCTCCTCACCAGGGGTGAGCCAGGCCCTGTGAAGGCCCCCTCACCTGTGGCTGCCCTCGGAGACACCGAGGATGACAGGCTCGGGGGAGAGCCAACACCGAGCCGTTCCCACGTGGCCAGGCCCCACAGAGCGCTGGGACGGTCTGTTCCCACAGCCGCCGCCACCTCCCTTCCCGCCACGTGTCCAAGGAAAGGAATCTGGCACTCAGTTCTGCTCCCCTGCAGTGGGCGCCGAGGGTGGAGCTGAGGTGGCCTGGCAGCAAGGCCGGGTCCGGGGATGTTCAGGTGGCCTGCAGAGCAGGCAGGGGGAAAGGCCCACCCAGGGCCCCCCTCCCGGCTTCTTTCTAAGCCCCTTCTGGCTCAGCCCCTCCAGACAACAGCCAGGGACCCCACCTCCTAAGCTGTAGAGACACTTGCTCCAATAGAGTCTCCGGCTCTGGGCTTGCTTGAGATGGCAGTGGGGCCTGGGGCTGAGGGGCGGGGGAGTGGCATTTAGTGACACGCAGATGGCGGTGCTCATCACCAACGTGTGTGTCCAGCTTTGCGTTCTCGGAGGCCCATTCCCAACATTCTCCCTTGACCCTTGCAACAGCTCTGCAAGGAAAATGACAACCGTATTCTCCGCATTTTACAGATGCGTTCACTGAGGCCCAGGTGCCTCTGCTGGCAGTGCACAGGAAAGGCCACGCTCTCTCCTTTGTGCTGTGTCACTGTGTCCCGGGTCTTCATCGGGGAGTCTCCCAGTCTGGGGGAGGGGCACTGGCATGGCTCGTAGCCTGGAGGAGGAGTTGGGGTGGTATTCTGTCCTAGCATCCTGCGTTATGACACAGGGTGAGCTTCAGTCCTCTTACCTCTGGGCAGGGGACATATCTGTCTGGTGCACCTGAGGGAAGCATGCATGCAAAGAGCCAGGGACAGGGACTTCTCATCTGCAGTGTGCCCCACTGCTCCGAGGGGTGGAGGGCCTGGCCTCAAGGAATCTGCTGCCAGTTTGGAAGACAAGTATATCAATCTGTGTCTCCCCGGGGAGAGCAAGGCAAAATGGCAGTAACGATGATGATTACATCAGAGAGCCGACTGTGAGCCCCGCGCGGGGGCCGAGGCTTGCAGCGTTATCTAAGGGGGGCCTTCAGAGTGCCCTGTGCGATAGGAAAGTGACCCCAGTTTTAAAGATGAGAAAGCTGAGGCATGAAGGGTTCAGTCACGTGTCTAAGAGCAGGCAGCCAGGGGGCAGGACAGCCAGCGCTGGAAGCAGCTGGACCCGGACCCTAGCTTTGCCCTCCCTGGGGCTCTCCTGTCTCCGGGGGGGGGGGGGGGGGGGGGGGGGGCGAGGAGGAGGGGCGTGTAAATGGAGGAGCCTCATGGGCTGCAGTTAGGGGGCTTCCAGGGGAAGGGGGAGCAGGAGGGAGTGGAGAGCACTGGCTTTTTTAAATTCCAAAAGCAGTGTTTGTATTAGAGAGAAAATTGCAATAATAGTAGATTGACGTGAACACAATCACCAACCACCCCTACTCCCACTCCTCTGAAACAGCCATTTTACTCGTGCCTTTTCCCTTCCTCAGATATCATCGTGCGTATTTTATATTTTTTTCTATTTTCATGTATTGTCATCACCCCCTTTCTTCTGGGGCCGTATGTGGTCTTTATAATGACCTTTTTTGTTGCTTTGTCGAAAGTACTTCATCTACTTTGTAAAAGTCGTTTTCTGTAATGACCAGCACGTGCAGTGCTGCTCTGAGGCTCTTTGTTATTCTGGCCAGGTGACAGGCTCTGGATCAGCAGAAAGGAGGTGGGGGGCATTCCGGGGGGCGGGTGAAGGGAGGGCCTCTTGGCCAGGAGCAGGGAGGCAGGAA